AAATAGATGTCCAAGACTGATCGTATCTTTTTTATTTGTATATCCTTGAGTAAAAAATAAAACTATATATGCAACGAGTGTTGACATTGTTAATGGTAATGAAAAACCAAAACATTGCATTAAAACTTTACAAGCAATACGTCCAGTATAATAACAAATACATGATGAAAATATTTGTATAATAAATGGTGCATAAACTTCTTTTGTTATTCGAAAAAGATCTTCGTGTTCATCGAAAATTCCAAATCCTCGACTATATTTTTCACTAATTGGTACTTGTCGAAATACTTGTAAATATAAATTTTTATCAACTGTGTTTGGTAGAAAACAAATAGCTGATATAATTAATACAATAATTTTTAAAAGACTTGCTGTTAAATAGACTTTTGGACGTGTTTTTTCTAATAATCGTAAACTATGACGAAACCATGAAAAAACATATTTTTTTGATAAACGCATTTCAATAAAACTTTCCCAATAACCAAGTGATATAAGAAAAAGTGCTAATGGTAATTGCCAACGAAGATCATAAGATATTTTGTCTGTTGTTTTAACAAAATAGGGAATAAAACAAACAGATAATTGCATAAATACGGAACCTAAATCGGTTATAAATGCTAAGATTCTTATGCTTTGATTATGATGACGATTTGATGAAAATAAATTTAAAAAAGCTGGAACTATACATACACCATTTAATATAAATAATCCAGTTACATTATCCAAAGAAGGTAAAATACGAAATACAAGTAAAGAAAGACCAATGGTATGACATGTTTCAACGATATGAACCTAATAAAATAATAATTCAATAAAACATTCTATTCGTTTAATTATTTATACCCATATAGTAAGTAGGAATGGTGGAGAATGTTTAATACGAATAAAAGATAAGACAACACTTTGTATAAATGTTAATATATAAGGTACAATCATTGCCATAAGTATGAGCATTTGCCATCTAATAATATATGTTTTAGGCTAAAAAAATATGAGAAAGAATATTTAATTTTTATCTTTAAAAATGAAACAAACTTGTTCAAGATTTTTATATGCATTGATCATTGTAAAAAGACTAAGTTTACTAACGACAGCTGATGTAAGAACAATAAGAAAAAAAATTAAATAAACGAATATCTTAACAATACGACGAAATGTAAGACGACGTTCTTTATTTATAATTTGTTCTTTTTCAAAAAGACGACTCGTTACATGAGCTACATCCCACCAGTAACCACTAGTAGCTGGTTTATTATCATTTTTCCTTAAAAAATTATTATAAAACAAAATTAATTAATAAATAACAATTTACTTAGGTTTCATTGATTCATCTAATGTATGTGTTGTAGATTGTGAAATATGTACTCTGGTCGGTGGTATTGGTGGTGGAGGAGGGGGTGGCATTGCTTGTAAACGTTTCATCTTATTATTAAATGAGATGACTATTTAAAGCGATGTGTAGTGTTATGTATGATGTTTCATACGTATATGTACTGATATATATATTTCTTTATTGATTCATTCGTTTCATACAAGTTAAAACGGACGAATATACGACAGATGAGCAGTACAGAAAAATCTATTGTTTTCATCGACGGAATGATAGCAGATAGAATTTTACCGTTCTGTTGATTATCGATAGTTACAAACAATGAAGTTAAATTCTGACTTCAAGTCTTTTTTCTTTCGATCTATTTGTTAAAAAATCTTTATAATAAACATCAGACCAGATCTACAACGTTATATATTATGTACAAATAACAACAGATGAATGAAGAAAAAAAAACGAGAAACAGAAAGAGATTACAAACAGGGTTAATATATATATATACAAAAGTTTATAAATAAAAAAAGAACAACTAGAAAAAGAAAGGGAAAACTGAGCAATCAATATTACTATCTGACATACACAAGTTTTAAATAGAAAAATCAAGACAACGAATATAAAAAAAAACTTCCCTTCTTTTTTCTTCTTTTTGTATTACATAGATTGAATCGGAGAAATCGATGAAGTCGACGGTGGTGGTGGTGGTTTTACTTTTGTTGGTACTGATGATTTTGATTTAATAACAGGTTTAGTTGTTGTTGGTACTGGTGTTGTAATTATTGAGTCATCATCTCGTGGTGCATCAAATGTTCGTTTTAAAAGTGCATAAACTGGATATGTAAATGCATTCGTTGGAATGGCACGAAGTGTACACGGTAAAAATCCTCGAGTAAATACTTGCCATCCTTCCGTACGAAATGATTTTACAGCACAATCCCATACACCCTTATAAACATGTTCTCTTGATGCTTGATATCGACTTTTAATAACATCAAATGGATAGGATACAGTCCATGCAGCAATCCCAGTAAAACCACCTCCAATTAAACTCATATACATTGGCATATCTGATTCTTTACCTGTTGGAGAACAATGTACAACAAAAAATTGCCATGCTGGAAAATAAGCAGCAAATGATGGAATATCACGTGCTAATGTCATTGATAAACCTCGCATAACACCTTGTTGAAAACCTCGTCTACCATAGGATTTCCTTAAACAATCTACTGGACCATTATATAAATGAGTTGATAATGCAAATAATTTTCTTTGTTGTCCAATGCCTTGTATTTGTAAACGTGTTTTAACAAGTTCAATTGGAGAACAAATAAATGCTTGTACAGCACCTGCCATAGCACCCGTTATTGCTAATGCTGTATATGTATCAGGATTATCAAATAAACCTTTCGAAGCATTTTGAACAGAAAATACAATACCATTTATAAGTGCAACACCGATCATAGGTGATGACATGCCTTTATAAAATCCTAATATTGATTCTTGTTTAGCAATTTTAATGAAACAATCTAATGAACCAGAATATAATCGATGATTAAGTGTTTGAGTTTGAAGACGAACTTTAACTGTATCAAATGGATAACCAGCAATAGTGCCGGTCACTCCGGCAACAAATCCAAAGCCAAAATCCAAAGCCATTGTACAATTTATGACTATGATGAAAAGAACACTTAGTATTTGATGTAGAAATTATATGATGCAATGTATTAGACACGCCAATCATAGAACGCAAAAGAAATCGAATAACCAACAGAATGAAGAGACACACCCTTTTTTACGTTCGTTTTATTATTATGTATTTTCCATCGACGCAAAAGAAGGAGGGAGACATCGTCATGTAAGAGTTCCGCGTGTTTTTATGCATATGACTTGTTTATCGCGCAGCATATTCTCTTTCTTTGACGTCATTTACGATTAATTGTGTATACAGTTTTTTTTCTTCTTCTATTTTTCACATTGTTTCTAGTCGGATAGAGAACAAATGAATATTAACTTCGTCATGTCGAAGAAAATAAAATGTACGCATCAAGGCATCACGATTCTTTCTCGAATTACAAAGAATCATAAATCGAAGTATGTTTTCAATTATTTCATAACACAAAAAAATATGTTCTGCTTATCCAGACATTGAAACCACTAAATAAGGACAAAAATGTTTTTAATGAAATTTCATCAGTATTATTCACAAGTCAATGCAATAGATTCATTTATTTCATATTTTTTATGGTAATCTATTTTTATAAATATAAAATCAAAGTTACTTCAATACTTTTCTCCATACAATAGTATGTTATTCAGTTGCTCTCTTGGTAATACTTGGATGAATAGTTCGATATTCTTCTCAAACTTACTTATGTCTACCAATTGTCAAATACGACATCTATATATAATAATCGTTTTTTTAAGAGAATTTTATGAGATAAATGATACCCAACTTGTTATACAATTTTTTGTAAGTTCATTTAGTTCAAAGAAAGATTCATGTTTGTAAACGTTTTTTCTTAAAACTATATATAATTTTCTTTGTTGATTGAAAACCTTGAAGGTTTAATTTTGAAGAAAAACAAATATATATATATTTATGCTCCTACATAATGCATCGTTGATAATGTTAATGGGGGCGTGATATAAAACCAATGAAAATACTCTCGTTCGTCGTTTATTGGAAAGAAAGTTACTACTATGTTTTTCTTCACTATTCCCGTTGATCAATCGACAGCAATTATAATGAAGAAAAAAAAAAAAACGAGAAAACTCATGTTTATAGTACGGCGACGCATAGGTGATTAATAATTGTAGTGTGGGAGCTGGAGGCGCATTCGTAAATGCCTATATCAGACTATGATTTTACTTTTAAAGTAAGATTATTAATAAAACATGTATAGATTTTATTTGTATTTTAAATAATTCTAGTTTTTTCGTCCACCACAACGTACTGTACCTTTTCATAATGGTCTTTTGGATACACGAACTAAACATACAAAAGCACAAGATCGTCTTGTTGTTGCTGAACAACGTCTAGTCGATGTTGAACGAAGAAAATCATCTACTCATCTACAATCACTTGCATATGAACAAAAACGACTCGAAAAAAAACTTGCATTACTTCATAATAATATTAATTCAACATATTCAGATCAACCTTTGAAAATGCGTGATCGTTCATCTAGTGAAGTTATTCTTCCAAAGATTCGTCCATCAAAATCAATGAATGAACCATTATCTATACATCTTTCAAAATTATCTATGAGTTTACAAGATAGCAAACAAAATCTATTGTCTCTACCAAAAATTATCGATCCTGGACGACGTCTTTCAGCATATTCCGATGGGGATGTTTCTGAAAGTTCGTTCTTTACCAGTGATATGGATAGTGGTGAAGACGGCGAAACTGAAGATGATAAAAATTTAAAATCTCATTTACAAACTATTGCATCGAAAAGATTATCGATAAAACGAGATAAACTTCTACTTCGTAAACCTATTAAACCATTACCACCTATTGTTGCTATTATTCCACCAGAAGAAGATTTTTTGTAATTATCGTTAATATTAATTATGATAAATAAATTCAATATTGTGAAAGAAAAATCTTTTTTTACTTTATTAAATGAAATATGAGAATAAAAAATGAGTTAAAATATCAGACATAGATTTATGTAGGTATATCAGCACTTGGAATTGTTTCATATTGTTGTCGACGTCCAAAATAATTTCTATTACGTCGACGTAAAGCTGTTCCAACAGCAATCAAGATAAATATAAAAATACCCATAAGACATAATACAATAATTGTTAATTTATTTGATGGATAAACTGGTTTAGTTGAACAATCCATTGAATCAACATGTAAATCAATCAATCGTCTACCGGTATAGGCTTGTGGTAAAGCACAAGTAAGATTAAATGAATCTTTAACAAGATTATTTGGTCCAGTAAGATAATGAATAAACCAACGTAATTGACAACAATCAAATGGATTATTATTTAAATAAATTTCAATACCAGTTAAATTTGTTTTTGTCCAATAGTAAAGTGGTGATAATTCATCAATAATATTTATTTGATTATCACGAAAAAAGAAATGTTTTGTTCGAGTTGGTTTAATAATTTCTGTTGGTAATTGTTGAAATTTATTTTTATCAAAATTAATCGATAAAAGATTATTTAATGTAGGTAAAAATTCAGCTGATTTAAGTGAATTTGATACTAAAGAAATCGATTGAAGATTTGTAGAAAGACTTGTAAATGTATCATGATCAATTGTATTTAATTGTGCATTATCAAGAGAAATTTTTGTTAATGAAGATAATGATTTGAAATTTTCTCTTGTAAGTTTTCCTAATTTATTATTTGAAAGTACAATTGATTGAAGATTTGTACTGTTCTCATAAGATTTAGGAAATGTAGCTGTTTTTAAATATGTATTTTCCAATTGAAGATTAGTTAGATTCGATGATGAAAATTCTGGAATCGTTGATAATGGATTATTTGATAGAATTAATGATTTTAATGATGTTATATTATTAATTGTTTCAAGATCATCAACTACGAAAAAAAGAATTTTAAATTGAAAATTATTTAAAAAAAATCTAACCTGATTTAAATGTTAACGAATTATTTATAAATGAAAGTGTTTCAATACTTGAATTAAATCTAATATTCGTTAAATTCGATAAGTTTTTTGAATCACAATGCACAGTAATTGGTTTATCAAGATTATCACAAGTACATATTTCACATGCATTATGAATTTGACCTGTTATTAACCCAGTAAAAACAATCACAATTAACTATAATAAATAAAGTTCTATTGATAAAAAGAAATTTTCAAGATTATTTTTTTTTACCAAATAATGTATCATGAATTTCATATTCAATGGAAGAATCTGAAATATTATTAAAATATTTACTATATTAAATAAATAAATTGCATACAGAGAAAATATCGAACAAAAAAAATATATATATAAGAATTATTCAGTGAATATTAGGTATTACAGCGGCTTGTTGAATTTCTTCATCTGATATTGGAAATGCTGGTCCACCATATGATTCATCTATGCCATCGATTTCTCGATAATCAGAACGTAATGGACGACGTTGATTCCAGGTAAATGCAGCTACAATACTAATGATTATAATACCAATAACTCGAGGTTTTTTCGTTATATCATTATGACAATTCATTTCATCTGGATTAAGATCAATCAATAATTTTCCTGCAAAATTTAACGGAGTAGTACATGTTAATAAAAACGTATAAACCATAAGGATAAACAGCAATCCAATGAGTTATTTGCTAAATAAATTTCCATATTAGTATAATTATTTTTTAACCATATATTCAATGGTGACGTTTCATCAATAACTGTTATGAAATTATGCATAAATGAATAGTTTCTAAGTTTTCCGGGTGTTGTTAATTGTTGAGGAAGTGAAGTAAATTGATTTTTGTCGAGATTAATTGAATACAGACGAGGTAAATTTAATAGAAATTCACAAGATTTTAATTGATTATTTTTTAAAGATAATTCAGTTAATTGTGAATTATGTAAAACTAAAAAATCAGTTTCATTTATCGAATGAATTTTATTATTACTAAGTGAAATTCGTTGTAGAGAAGAATTATTATAAGATATAGGAAATTCAGCAGATGTTAATAAAGTATCTTCTAATGAAAGAAATTGTGAGGTTCGCATGTTAAATGGTGGAATTATTTCAAGTGGATTCTGATTAAGAATTAGATTAGTTAATTTCGGTAAAGATTCGATTTTTATACGATCATTTACTAAAACAAAATAAATGTATACCAATTAAGTATAGAAATTTGTTACTTGTATCAAATTTAAGAGTGTTATTAATAAGTGTTAATGTTTTAACATTCGATGGAAAATCAATATCATCAAGATTTTGCAATCCTTTTGTGTCACAATTTATCAATGTTAAATCACCAGAACATTGACAAAGTTTACAGACATCAATAGTAGCAACACTTGATTTAATAACTGAAACAATCTAAAGATAAGAAAAACAATTTTTTAGTTTGTTAATTAAAAATAAATCTTACAATAATGATAATGCTGAGATGTATATACATTGTTAAATGTTATCTGAAAAATTATGATAATCTGTACATAGTAAATGAACTACGTTTTAGTGCTTAGCATTCATCATTGGTTGGAATATAAATAAGCTTCTTTCTTCAAAAGATGCCGCATTCAGACAACAGTTCTAATTCTTCGCTAAGCTGCTTCTCTATCTTCTACAATTTTCAATATAATGCGAAGCAAAGTATTTATGTAGTGCCTTTACAGGAAGCGTTACAAAAACACGATTTTGTTAATTCAACATGTGCTAGTTTAATTTCTCGATTTCGATGAAATCACCTAGCTTTGTGATTGTATCGAAGAGAAGAAACATTTTTAATTTAATTCCATAAATTTGTAACAACGGGATCATTGAAAAAACAGTTGTCACTCTGGACTGGGGTCAAGAACACACTAGACTTAAGATTGCTACGATCTGGACTGGAATCAAAAAGAATCAATTTTAGATCAATATTGTTAAGTTTCCTTTATACAATCTTTTCTACCTTGAATATCTATTCTTTATTGTTTTCAATGTTATTTATATAAAAATGATTATTCAAACACTTTTACCTCAAACAGAGATTGATATTATTCTTTTCTGATTAAAAAGGTTTTCTTTCTATTCAAGTTACACATCAATATACATTCGGTCATTTATTAATTATTAGTTATTTAAGTAACGATACTGTTGCTTCATGGTGTTCTAGTACATTTAATTGCTGATAGTCAACAATTTAAAGAAGCTATTCTTAAAGTTATACTTGCAATTGATCAATCAGAATCAGGTACACTGTGTATTTATGAATACTTTTTTTTAAATCTGTTTGTTTTTTTTTCTTTTCATCAAATAGTCTTCATCTTCTTTCCATTACAAGTAGTATTTCTTACATATGTAATTTTTTCGAGATGAAATTTTAATCGATTATAAACTAAATTTGTGCATAATCAATTGCAGATGATCGTGAAGTTCTTATGCAATCCTTATGTTCATTTACATTTGGATTATGTTGAGTTTTTAATAATAATCAAATAACAACATATTTGACGTGAGTTTTAAAATAACAAAATTGATCATAAGCATATGATATTGATCGTTAGTTGAATCAAGTTTCTCATAACATAAATAATCCGATAATCTCAATATATTTCTGTAGTTGATTGACTTTGTATTAATCAAAATAATTTTCTATAGTTAAGGATAAATGAAAAGTATGCCATTTTAATTGTTTTATATTCTTTATTAAAAGCCAAAACATTCTGCATATCTTATTTTTCCAGTCAGAAAAAAATCCAATAGACTTGTTCTATTTTAATGAATCATTTAAACGAATTATCAATAAACGTATTGGTATTGATTTCTTTCAAGACAAACTCGAATCACTGCTGGTCTCTATAAAGTATTTGAAGGTTCAATTACGTGTATGTTAACAAAACGTACAAATGATGGACAGTCATAAATGCAATCATATACCGATCGCTAGAGCTTGAATTTCTCTAGAAAATGGTGTATATGATATTTCGTCTTATCCTTGATAATGAAGTGAAAAGGCTCAAATACTTAATTTTTGGACATTACATAAAATTTATGTTTTCAATATTTTCGTGAAACATGAATTTCATAATTTTATTATCGAAAAAGTAATTACATCATCTTGTAAGCCATTCAATTCCTTATTGAATCATATATTGAACATGAATTTCATAATTTCTACAGTCGAGATAATCAGATTTGAAAAATGAGTATTGAGACTATATTGAGGGTGCGGGTGCGGGTGTTGATGTCATAAAAGATTGTTCCTACACCCAGCCTCAAGATGGTTTTTAGATAGAACTCTGCATTTTCGATTCCCTGCTGATCATACCCACCCCACCTCGTCTTTCGTCTCATTGGTTGAAATTAGAATCTACGACTTCTTAATAATATGTTGAGTGAATCATTATGAACGAACGGTCCAACATTTAATCGTTTTTTGGTAACTGCTCGACACATTACTCTTTTTTCAGTAGAAGGAATACCATTCAACACTATACCTACCGATACCAATGGTATTGTTGTATTCCTAGGAACGGGTGAGGATGATCGTGTGGGTCAAGATATCATCCTCATCCTTACCTACGTACATCCTCAACCTCACACTCAGTACCATCCAAGATTAACACATATGAATGATGAAGAACCCAAAAAGCTAAACTTTATTCAAAAACTTCACTCGCTCTCCAACAATGTCTCTACATGTTTTAGTTTCTCTTCATATTTCTGAATTTTGCTGTCCAAGTCTCTTAGTTCCGGATCATCTAGGCTGCAGGATTCACGTAGTGGTTGTCCGTCGGACGAATAAAGCAAGGAACCTTCTTGATAAACTAGGCGACCTTTTTCGAGCACCATATTTTTTCTCTGTGTAATATATGCTAATCCTTCATGCAAGTTTTTGCGAGCTAGAATATACTGCCGTGTGTGTAAGTAACAATCAGCCACAGATAAATAACTCTCATCCAGAGAGTCTGCTTGAAATCGGCTTGGTGCAGTCTCGTTTTTCTCAAGTTGTCTCAGACAGCACTCATGTCGCACTAATGCATACTGTAACGCTGAATCGAAATCGTGTGTGTGTTGTGTGCAGACCATGATGATCTTTTTGTAAAGATCCTTCACATCGTCTGACAAAATATATTCGAGCGCTTTTTTATAGTAACTCAACGCATCGTCGTAGCGAGAGATCACTTTGTATCTGTCTCCCAGATCTTCATATGCCGGTGCCAAATTTTCTGGAGCTGATGGAATTGTATCGTGCATTATCAGTTCTATCCAGCGTTCTTGGTATGTGACTGCTTTTAAACCATATCCTTCCGAATTAGTTTTAGCTAAGTCCCTACAAGCTGCTTTTAATTTGTAGACAATCTCGATTCTTTCGTAATCTCCAGGTAAGCATTTCTGCAGAGCTAGCTCATAGGAGCTGACAGCTTCCCTCAGATAATCCACATACAGGTCAGACAAGTGTTGTGGTCCGCGTTCGTATAATTGTGACATTGCAAGGTAATTTTCGGCAATATCAAATGAGCAGTTTAGTTCGTCGCTCACAAGATATTCCTTCCAAATTGCGAGAGCCTGGTTATAGTAGACGAAGGCGGACGAGTAATCACTCTTCTTCTGTGTTGGATCATCGCAACACTGAGCGTCGAGTTCAGCAACAGAATAAAATTTTATAGCCTGAATCCATTTTCCTTCCTCAGGATAAATGTCCATCAGGAGGTCGAAGACAGTGATATTGTCAGATGTAAGAATCAGCTCCGGCATGTCACTAAGTGCATTCATGCAGTTCTTCAGAGTTTTCCTCTTTGATTCAGTTTCCAATTGCCTATCTCTTAATATATCGTAGTGTGGCTGCAGTTTTAACTTTAACAGCCAGTACGACGATACGCTGTGCAGATCGTGTTGCTCTTGACGACTGTGAACAAGAAACGTTGTGTTCGCCATAAATAAAGTCTCCTTTTCGTTCGGGTAAAAACTGAGTTTTGCAATATCTGCAAAGACAGCACTGTGGTGTCGGTAGTCCGCTTCGATTTCAAATAGTACGCAGCTGACATTTTCCAGGCCTTTCAAACGGGCTAGAAACTTCTCGGCTGTGGAACGGTCAGTCGACGTGGAGAGCAGAGCGTTACCTCGAACTGAGTATCCAACTTCTAATTTTGCGAGATCTTTGTCTGACAATGCTTGGCCACGATACACTTTGGGAATGGGCTTTTCAGGAGATAATCCTTGCTGTATGTGTTGGTGCTCTCTTTTTAGCTCTTGGTATAAGTCCTGAAGAAAAGATCCGAACAGTAGAAGCACTCTGATGTTTTGTTGTCTGAACGCTCGATTCAGAATTTTGTAGAATAAACTTTGCCGAGAGTACCACCAAATAGCTCGTCTCTTAGATGGAAAGTCGCTCATGAAATCATCAATGATTTTATCACTAAAGCCGCGCTCCTTGAGCTCAGTCCCAAGTCGATAGTGATAGTTTTCAGGATACGGCAAACTAATCAGTACTTTGATGAAATTATGCCACCACAGCTCATATTCATTGTCGAAGCTAATCTGAAGCGCAGGATTCTGATAGCTGAATATACCGGCTTTTTCGTGTTCGAAATACTCCTGCAGGTCTTTCTGGATCTTTTCCAGAAGATCACGAAGTTCGCTATGTACGGAGCAGAGTTTCTAAAAAACAAATTTCGAACATTCGATGTTTTAATCAAGGATTTTTACAACTACTAGCCTTGCTGTCGTCCCAGAATGTCAATTTTTTCATGTCAAATATCTCATTTTCACAGTAGATATACACTTTCCACACGTTTGTCTTGCTGAACGGCAACAGGCTGGAAACAATGTTCTGCGCGTAGAGAGCGGAACAGACGAGAAATGTAAAGGTATTATGACACTTTTCAATATGTTTCAAGCACGTTTTCCAGCTATCGAAGGCCTTTGTATAGTTGACAAGTTCACGAAACTGTGTAAGAGTAGAGAAAATTCCTTCCTCATCTTCGAGTTCAGAAAGCTTAGGATCCGTCCATAGTAATTGATGGGATTCGAGGTTCACATCGTGACGATCGAAATAAGGATGCCATTTGGGTGCCAGACCGATAAGCTCGTCAGGGATAGTTTTTCCAAATTGTTCGACACGGACTTCGATCGTCGTATCAGTCATTGATTTTCGACCTAGAATTTAGATCAGAAACGGTTTTTTCTGTATAATCTGCAACTATTCTGTGAAAATAGTGTTTCTCATTGATGTTCACTATATCTAGGGATGTACCGAGCTTGAGCTCTTACTTATTGGTGTATGTTCTGATGTGTTCAAATTTTTTGCCTTCTCATCGTTGGTCATTAGTTCAGTTGAGTTGGTAGCTTCAGGACAGTCGAGTGATGACTTCAAACAAGAAAAAAAATCGTTATATTTAATGATGGCAAAGGTGAATACAACCATTCAAGAGAAATCTGAATTATCACGAAAACTTACTATTGCATTGTTCG